GCGCACTGTACGAACTCAGATGCACTCAGAGTAGCGAGGGGTGAGACAAGGGTAGCCTTTTTGCCTTTTCTGGCTTTCGAAGAGCCTCTTCGTCGCCACGGCTGGATGCACCGTGAAAAACCAGTGCGTTTGGACCTCCTCCTCCTCCTCGTGCTCCTCGTGCTCCTCCTCCTCCTCCTCCTCCTCCTCCTCCTCGTCCTCCTGCTCCTTCTCCTCCTCCTCTCCTCCTCCTCCTGAAAAACCAGTGCGTTTGGATCTTGGGAGGGGTCCAGGCACGGATCTAGAACCGATCTGGCCAGCGCTGTCCCGCCGCCTCTCCTCCGAGCGCAGCTGGCTTTGGGTCCTCCGCGAGGGGCCCCTTCCTCGATGCATGGCCGCCTCGGGCGCCGGGAGACGCCAGGAACATCAGCTGGGTAAGTTGATTCTCCAGCCTTTCCCTCCCCGCCCTTCCCTGGAGGAGGAGGAGGAGGAGGAGGAGGAGGAGGAGGAGGAAACCGAGGAGGAGGAGGAGGAGGAGGAGGAAACCGAGGAGGAGGAGGAAGAGGAGGAGGAAGAGGAGGAGGGAGGAGGAGGGAGGAGGAAGAGGAGGAGGAGGAGGAGTACGGTAGGTCCGTGCGGCGCTGGCGCGGCGGCGACCCCTTCGAGGGCGTTCAAGGTTGAACGCCGCCGGTGGCTCTCGATCGTTCAATGTTGAAGTATCGGTCACTTTGGGAGCCGCCCGATCGTTCAAGGTTCAACGATCGACTCGGGGTCAGGGCCACAGGGCCGTCATGGTTCATGCGGCGAGTTGTCTCCATACCCGTAGGCTCGCGTAGGCTCCCATACCACAGATCGATGGGAAGCCTTGTGTTCCACAGTGGTTGCAGTGGTTGTGGGAGCACGTCCGCGTCCTGGTCATCGAGGAGGTGAGCATGGTGGCAGCTGCTCTGTACAACGCTCTGGACCTCCGCGCCTGCCACGGGCGCAGTGACACGCACGACGTGCAGGAGTCCACCTACAAGAGGCCGCACCACCACTTCGGCCGCGTCCCCATCGTGTTGCACCTCGGAGATTTCCTGCAGCTGAAGCCCACCGGCAGCATCGGGCTCCTGACGGACGTGAACGAGCTCCTGGACGACGGGTCGTACAAGTACGCGGAGCCGCCGACGGTGGAGATCCAGCACGCCATCAGGGTATTCTCTCAGATCCCCTGCGTCTTCGAGCTGAAGGGCACGAAGCGCTTCGAGCCGGGGGACCCTCTGATCGCGTTCTTGGGCTGCATGCGCGAGGGCAAGCGCTTCCCACCAGAGGTCTGGTCTGCCTGGGAGAAGACGTTGGCCTCTGACAACCACGGCGTCCTGGACCCTCGGCACCAGCACGAGAACTTTCGGCTCGGCTACGGCATGGGCATCTACTGGGAGACGCTGGCGAGGTGGATCAACACGCGCGCTCGTCGCGACGCGCGGCGCCTCGGCGTCCCCCTCGTTTTCCTGCAGGCCGTAGACGAGTGCGGCACGATTCAAGGCGACCCAGACGCAGGCCGGCGCCTCCTGAACGTCCCGAACATGCACAAGACGGGGGACATCCACGGCGTCTTACCGCACACGTCGGCATGGAGGTCCGGTTCACGGCCGTGCAGGAGGAGCTGAAGAAGAAGTTGGGGCTCGTGCAGGAGCAACGGGCCACCATCGTGTCCTTCGAGTTTCACGCAGACGACGAGCGGGACTACGAGGAGTGCGCGCCGGGCCAGCTCTTCCGCCCCCGCTTCCTACCGCAGGGAATCTGGCTGCATGTGCACGGCTTCCAGGAGTCCCCGATCTACAAGGAGGTCGCCGAGGTGCTGCTGCAGGGCGCCGAGGGCGCTGACGACGACGGCGAGGCCCAGGCGCGGGCGAGGAGCTTGCTCATGTTCAGGCCCAGCGAGCAGGAGTTCACGTGGCAGAGCTCGGGGGCGCACACTGTGCGCCGCTCGGGATTCACGCTGACGCACGCGTCCTACCTGACCTCCACGCTGTCGCAGGGCCAGACGCTGCGCAAGGGCGTCACCATCGACTGCGCCAGGGATGAGGACGCTGGCCGCGCGGGCATGTCGGACGATATGTGGTGGCTGCACCTCTACGTCATGTTCTCCCGCGCCACGTGCATGCGGAACATGCTGATCCTGCGGCCGCCCGCGCGAGAGTTCCTGGAGCGCGGGCCGCCGGCGTCACTGCGGAAGGCGCTCCAGGAGTTCGACGAGAGAGCGGTGGACTCCAGGGCTGAAGCGGAGCAGCTCGCGGCAGAGCTGGGCTTCGTGCTGCCGCCCGCCTGAGCGCCGCGGCGCGCGCGAGGAGGCCCGCGGGGTTGTCCCAACGGCCTGGCCCGCGGGGTTGTCCCGACGGCCTGCCCTCGCGCTCCGGCGGCCCGCGGGAGTGCCCCGCAGGCATGGCTGGCCCGAAGGTTGACCCGAGGGCTTCGCGATCTGGCCGTCGGCAAACGCGCGCGTTCTGACCGAGGCGGCGACGGCGCCGAGGAAAATCGA